ATGAGATTTTATTGAGTAGTAATAAGCATTACATTTTATAATTGAAGTGGCAAGAAAAAGGTAATTTAGGAAACTAATAATTGTCCTTTATGTTGTGCTGTGGGATGGTCTATATGTTAAATTGCTCTGATTGGTCAATAAATAAAAGACTGATTGGCCAGTGGCCAGGCAGGAAGTATAGGCGGGACTAACAGAGAAGAGAATTGAGGAACAGGAAGGCAGAGAAAGACACTGCCAGCTGCCGCCATGACAAGCAGCATGTGAAGATGCTGGTAAGCTACGAGCCATGTGGCAAGGTATATATTAATAAAAATGGGTTAATTTAAGCTATAGGAACAGTTAGCAAGAAGCCTGCCACGGCCATACAGTTTATAAGCAATGTAAGTCTCTGTGTTTACTTGGTTGGGTCTGAGCAGCTGTGGGACTGGCGGGTGACAGAGATTTGTCCTGACTGTGGGCAAGGCAGGAAAACTCTAGCTACAATGTTGAATTTTGTAAATACTTACCCCTGAAATAAAAGTGAAAAGTAAAATAAGTTGTTCCATGGGTAGCTATGTAAACACTTCCAGGGCCAAAAGTAACTCCATTTCCCCAAATTCTTGTGGCAGTTAGACTTGCAGCTGTGTCCCCACCACACCCCCACCCCCACTACCAAAAGGGGCCATTTATCTTATCACTAGCAGAAGGGACAAATGGCTATCTGTAGTGGCTATTAGCATACCAAAGAGCATGCTGGCCTAGGCTCTTTCTGTATCACAAATAACTCTTATACATTTTATAATCCACACTAGTATCCTGGCTCCTTTCAGCTCTTCTTCTCTCTCCTCCCCCACTATACTAAATGTAGCTCAAGAGCTTCTATCTCCAGCTACTCCTTCTATTTCATAGCCCTGCTATATTAGTTATGCTTCCTATTTTCTCTTCCTGTTTTATGCCTCTCTCTTTTGTCCAGTCTTCATCTTTTTTTGTTGCATCCTCTTTGTCTTCCTCTCAGTCTCTCTCTTTCTCTCCCTCATTCTATCTCTCAGGAACAGTCTGTTGGCCATATTCATTCTAGTACTTTCTGTCTATGCTCTGGACACTTCTACATGTTTCTGGCTATTCTCTTTCTCATATCTACAGTGTCGTCAGTATCAGTTTATACTGACATCAGTTATTTTGCATTATTTAATATGCTAAATATAATTCAATGTTTTCTCTTATTGATTCTGTTAGAGAACTCTTTCTATAAAACAATGTAAATGTACATTACAAAGAAACTAATGGAACCAAAATAGCACAGGACAAGGATACTTTAGGGAATCATGCTTAACTCCTAGGTTTTAGATGGCACTATGAGTTTTGGGAGCTTTTTAAAATGACTCAGATATTTTCAATAATTACACTAAATTAGAATAAATAAAATCTTTTAGTGGTTAAATCAGAAAATTACATAAAATAAACTTTGCTAGAGCTGCTACTTTCTAAAAATTATAATCATGAGTAAATGCCTATTTAATCACACAAATATTTACTTTCATGTGTCTCAGCTAATGCTAAGTAAATTTGTTCATTAATGAGATACTTAGAATTGATTTTCTTATATACAACTAATCAGATTTGTTTTTTAAAGCATTAAAATGTTATTTGATGATTGAGCAAAGTGCTGTTTACCTGTAACCCCAGCATTTGGGAGGCTAAGGCAGAAGGATCATGTGTTTAAAGCTACAGCATATAGAAGACCATGTTGACTATAGAAGAGTGAATTCAAAAAATAAAAGGAAGACATAAATGCTTCTAAGGGGTTGAAGTTGTTATTACAGATAAAAGGAAGAAAACAAGAAGTGGTAGAGACATCTGGGAGAGTTCTGAGTGAACATGCCTCTCAAACTAGACCAAGCAATGTGAGGAGTGGCAGGAGGAGAGGGGGAATGTCAGAAGACCAAGAGGCCAGTAGGCCAAGAGACCAAAAAGGCAAAAGGGCCACATAGCCAATGTAGTCAAAACGGGTTATATAGGAACAGAGGAGCTGTTGGGAAGGGCAGCCCAACCCAGCTTAGTCCCTAAGCTGGAGACTTCAGGGTAGAGGTTGGGGTATGCCAGCCAGGATGCTGTAACTAGGAATGACTGAGGGATGTTGGGGACCCAGCAGCTTTGATATATCAATAGGTACCTCAGCTTTGTCTAGTACAATTTCTGACAAGAAAGTACATTAACTGTGAATGAACTAAGGAGATGGCATGAAGACTCAGTCTGGAGCCATAACTCCGGATTATTCAAACCTCCTGTAACTTTGAGAACTTACCAAAAGGTATTGTGATGTGGAATTTTAATGTGTTTTGTTTTGTTTTGATTTTTGTTTGTTTGTTTGTTTGTGAAGTTAATGCAAATTATACTTCTTTAGAAAACCGAGGAAAAATCTTTATGAGGATTCTAGAATATATTTGTTATAACTTTAAATTACCTCTTGCTTATAAAATGCAACTAGTTGAGTTTCAAATTACTTTCATGTCTAGATCTTGTTCTTTATGCATTGTTATGGAAATCATCTATATTTAAGGCTTCTCCCTTGTCAGAGTCTGTTTTACATTCTCATACTTCTTATGATGAAGTTCCAAATGCCGGTACTTCAGAGTATGACTCTACAGCAATAGAAAATTTACTGAGGCAACTGTTCTAATATCATAGTGATAATGAATCTATGTGACTAGTGTTATTATAAGAAGATTAATTTGGTTTTCAGATATGTCCATAGATGAGACTAATGTGAAGATCAAGAAGTACAACTACTAACAACTTTCTTGACTACTGATCTTGGACCATCAGTCTCCAGAACTATGGAAAGTAAGTTCCACATTTTAAGTTCCTGCTTTGTATAGCCTCCTAAGGAAATCCTGGCCATTGATTGAAACTGATCATTTTGAAAGCAGCAATAAAGATATATCTGTGATAATAAGAGATTACAGAAAATCAATTCTGGATAGTATTCATGAATACGTTAAAGGTAACTTGTACACTTTATGATATTTCATATAGAAAAGAGTAAAAATATTTAGTTTGAATAGAATCAACTAACCTGTCAATTTCTTAACAGAAACAGAAGAGGAGTGACTGGAGGGAGGAGATGGAATGGGGTGGGAGAAAGGATGGAAGGGTAGGAGGGAGGGGAAACTGATCAGATTATAAAATAAAAAAAAAATTAAAAACTGCACCCTGTTATTTATATATATTTGATTTGGGCTGTTTTATGGAGACTCATAATAGAAGCTGTTAGGCACTGATAGATAATGTTTTATAGGTTTGCAGGTTATGTGGATCTTTTTTTCTCATTCTTTAGTTATTGAAGTAAAATGCCAGTAAGATACTGCATTAGCCAAGATAGTCATCTCTCAAAATGCATTCTTTCTGTATTCATTTCATTTCAAGGTCATTTAAACAGGGTGCAACATTGCTTATCTAATGTCCATATTTTGTTACCAACTCTGGTAAATAGATCAGGCTATATTAGTCTGGCAAATGAAATAAGAACAAGAATAATGCATGGAGCTCTTACCATTCATCATTGAGAGAGAACTAGTGTTCTCCATTTCATTATCTTCCTTGTTGTGGGTGAAATTGAAAACTTAGCAGTAGTGAGCAAGTTTTATGATAAGAATAGAAACAACCAAAAATTTTGAAGAGATAGAGCAAAGATGACCCAAGGCCTCTGGATGACTTCTACCAACAATACTTCCTTTACCCTGAACTGGTGACCTTGTTTGAGATAAAACCTCATCTTTATCTTCTCTAAAACATTGCATCTTGGCCGATTTTTATGTAGCTTAGATTGTACCTAAGCATATAATTATTGATTTAATTGAAACAAACTATAGAATGTCATTATATGATAGAATGGTAAGGGAGAAATGAGACTAGTTCAATTTTTAGTCTATATTTTCTGGATTTCCTTATCATAATAATTTCACATACTATATGATCATAAAATAAGAGCTGTAACTCTAAAGAACCATTCTTAGTCGAGAGAAATGGAATGGAATCCACCACTATTTTTCTCAAAATTTTATAATTACACATTCTCTAAATTTTCACAAAGAGAGATGATATTAAGTGTGGCAACATAACATCATACGTTTTTGCATATTATACTTTTTTTTCAAATTTAGAAATATTTAGCCTCACTAAATTAAAAATAAGTGCAAATATCTTAGATAGATAATTAACTCAGTCAAATACTTATTAATTTAAAGAAAAGAGAGTGAGTATGCTTTGTAAACGGCCCAAATGCCTTGGCAAAATCTGAGATGAGCATATGCTATTAATACCAGCTACATCAGCTACTTCCTTTTTATTAGGACAATTTCAAGTACTCTAGTAATGAATCACCTAGAAAAATATTAAGCTATGAATGTTTGACCTTAAATTCTAAGCAGCAATAAATGTCTCTCTGGCTGTCAAGAGAAATGACAAGAATTTCCCAGCTAGAACGAAAGTAGGCCAAGTGCCCTTTGGTGACAGAAATGATAGAACCTTCCTCAGAAGGCCATAGATTCCCTTTAGATTCTTTACGATTATGACCTTGTTAATATTCTGAATTGTCCACAGTTACTGTATCTTGTTGCATCCTCATTGTATGTTCCAGCTAAGCACTGTAGTTTGAGATAAACTAATAAAACATACAACTTAATCTCTGTGAATGATAGATTTCAACCGTTACATACATGTGATTCATTTAGAATATCAACTCTGTGTTTTTAATAATAATAATGTACACATTGTAAGGGATTTACTCAAAACATATTTATTCAATGTATGCTTTGGAAAAATTCTTCATATGATTTATCATTTGATTTATCTGTCTTGAAATATACAGTTAGACCCTGAGTAAATTTTGAGAAAAGTAAAAATGAAGCAAGGTAATATTAACAATTCTATTACTATTAAGCATTACTATTTGGTTATAAAATCATTTACTATATGTTTTCATATATGTTAAAAATAACATTCAGTAATATAGAATTTACCTTTCCCCAGGCAATCTCAGCATCCAAATTACTTGGCATTCCTTCAACTGCTGATCTCTTTGTCAATTCCATATCTGTTGCTGCCAGCCATTCTGTTAACACATTCATTTCCTTTCTCATCTTACGGGACAATTTTAAGCATTTCTCCAACTGCTGCTTTCTCTCTGTTACCTAAATATAATAATAATATATTGAATTTGGCTTACTTTATAAGTCAAGTTTATTTACAGTCCCTTTATTGGAAGTTTTATATTTCAGTCACTGTAAAATAACTATTTTCTTACATGCTGTTTTCCATCTTATTTTAGAAATATCATAGTCAGAACATTAATAGTAAATAAAAAGTCTTTACTAACTAAAATGCTTAGCTAAAATATAGTGCCTTTGTCTGCTGTAATGATAGCATGATAACAGAAAAACTATGTGAATTTGCTTCTAAGTAAAATAAAGATACTATTTATGGCCAAAGTTTGGAATAATTAGGATAATAGAAGACAAACAGAAGATAAGACATATTTGTCATAGGAAAAATCTATAGTCATTTGACAAAGACATGAATAAACAGGTTTACATGCTTCAAAATACAAATGAGCCTTTCTCTTGCATAAGAGGATATCAAGAAAGCAGAAATAATATTCATATACAGAGGCAAAAATATTTGTGTAATATATAGAATTATCAATTTCATCTTCAAAACATTTTCAAATTACTTTTGCATAGAACACCACCAACCATAACCTTTCCCATAAACAGAATTTCTACCAAAAGAGGGCAAAATAATTTTAAAATCCCAAATTTCACTCTCATAAATTTGAAAACTGATCTTGTATATATGCACATTTACTCTCATGGTTGAAAAGCTAGAACATTAACAAGTATACATTCCAAATAGCACTATGGAATATTGTGAAGGAAAAACTCAGTAGAAGTTTAAGTCAGTATCATGTTTTTGAAATGTTTCTTATATATACAGTATTTGTCTTCAAAAATGGCTTAATAAAAACTGTATTTATGACTACATGACAAAATTTCTTATATTACTATTTTGTTGGCAAAGAAAACCATAGAAAGGTGTATTTACTTATTTTGTTTTGTTTTGTTTTTGAGACAGGGTTTCTTTGTATCTTCCTGCTGTCCTGAGGCCAGAGTGGCTAGAAGAGATCCACCTGCTGCTACCTCCAAAGTACTGGAATTAAAGGCATGTGACACCATGCCTAGTTCAAGATTTGGTTTTATTAATGTACTATCTGAAAATAGACTTAAAATTAGTCTTAATCTTTATGAAATTGTATAAGAAAATACAAACACAATATGAATGTATATGCTTCAGGCTCTGGATACATGTGTGTGTGTGTGTAATAACTATTAGCATAAAAAATCAAAGATAAAATTATGTCTAAAGTGTTTCACATGTTGCAATACAAATGCCAATATAAATTTCAAATATTCAATAAATTGATTTGTTCCTTCATGAACAAATTTTTATATATATAATATATATTTTAATTTAATAACATATTATTTTAATATAGTTTAATAGTATAATATATAATATAATAATATTTATTTTAATAATATATATTATATATATAGTTTAATTCTTGGATGCAAATTCAAACTTTTAATATACATCTGTGTATATACATGTTCATGTGTGTTGTGGGTACTTAAGTAGGAGACAGTTTCTGTGTGTGTGTGTTTATATACATATATATGCTTGTGTGTAGACAACAGAAGACAGCCTCAAGTGTTATCTTAAGGAACACTACCTCCTTTGGAACAGAGTCTGTAATTTGTCTGTGGGTCACAAATCAAGCTAGCAACATGGCCATTTTTCCCAGAGATATTCCTGTCTCTATATGTCCAACATGGGGCTATAAGTATGGTCCACCACACCGAGTAATTTTACATAGCTTCTATGAATCCAACTCTAGTCTTCATTCTTGTGAGACATGTGCTTCAATGCCTGGGCCATCTCACCAGCCAGTAGATTCATTGTTTTATTCTTTCCCATACATTATTTACTGGTTGGTGGTGGCAGTGGTAGTGGATTGAGTGTGTATGTGTAAGTGTGTGTGTGTGTGTGTGTGTGTGTGTGTGTGTGTGTGTGTGTGTGTGTGCGTGTATGTGTTCACGTGGACACACATGTGTATGGGCTTTCCTCTGCCATAGAGCATGGGTAGGATTCAGAGCACAACTTATAGGAGTTGATTTTCTCATACAATGTAGGGTTCCAGGCATTGAACTGAAATCATCAGGCTTCGCAGCAAGTTCCTTTTCCAGGTGATCCATCTCACTGGCTCAGATTGAATATTTTAAGATATTTTCATTTCTACTTTTTTTCTCCAAGGGAAGTATAAACATCTACCCTTTAGACTGCAAGGACTTCATTTCTATACCACAGACAAAAAATAAAAACTTTATATCTTGCTTCTATGCACTTATTTTATTCTGTGCTCTATTGGTAGAAAAGATTCTAGATTCAATGTTTCAAAGAAATCCTATTTTCATAAAGCTAATGCATTATTGATTTTTATTTATTTTATTTTGTTTATATCCAACTAAGTAGGATTTAAAAAACAGGAGACACTGCCACCTTATGGAAATGCTTTTACACTGTCCTTGTCTGTGAGAAAGGGTTATAAATATTTGATAAGAATACCAAATACTGTGGAATGTTTGTGTGATATTTTTGTTTGTGTTCTGACAAATAAAGCTTACCTGAAGATCAGAGGGTGGAGCTAGCCACTAGTTAATCATAGAGGCCAGGCAGTGATGGCACACACCTTTAATCCCAGCACTTAGGAAGAGGAAGCAGGAAGATCAGGAATTCAAGGCCACCATGGGCTATACAAGATTGAACCAGTGTAAAAGAGAAACAGAGCCCGACAGTGATAGCTCATGCCTTTAATCCCAGGATCTGGGATCTCACACCTTTAATCCCAACACTTGGGAGGATTATGCCTTTGATCCTAGCACATGAGAGGCTCATGTCTTTAATCCCAGCACTAGGGAGGTGGAGACAGGAATATAAAGTGGGTGGAGAGAGGACCCCACCCCATTCAGTTTTAAGATTTATAGAGACAGGATCTCATTCATTCAGTCTGAGGATTCCTAGGAGGTAAGAAGTCTCGCTAATGGCTGGCTGCTCTGCTTTTCTGATTTCAGGTTTCACCCTCGATATCTGTTTTTTATTGATTAAGATTAATTAGATTCATGCTTCAGCTGACACTAAAATGCCTCATAGTTATTGTTTTGATGGACACTAACAATTGTATTTTGGAGATGATATTGCTATTCATGCTTATTAAAAAAAATTGCCAAAGCCAGACTACACTAGTAGAAACCCAGGAACTCAGGAACCCATGGGACTCAAACAGGCCCTCTGGACATGGAAGACGGTTGTTTGGCTCGAACTCTTTGGGGAGCACTCAGGCAGGGGGATTGGGATCTGTCCCTGGTGCATGGGCAGGCTTCTGGGAATCCGGTGCCTATGGTGTGACACCTTGCACAGCCTTGGTGCAGTGGGAAGGGGCCTGGACCTGCCTAGGCTCAGTGAGCTGGGCTCTGCTGATTCCCCATGGGAGACCTTGATTTGGGGGATATGGGGATGTGGGGTGGTGTCCTTGTGGTAGATTGGAGGCTCCGTTGGGTTTATGTGCATGAGTAGTATTGCTGGGTCTTGGGGTAGATGGATTCCCAAATTTCTGAAAACACTCCATATTGATTTCTAATATGGCTAGACAAGTTTGCACTCTCAGCAACAGAGGGTGTCCCCCTTGCTCCATCCACATCTTCTCCAGCATGAGCTGTCACTTGTGTTTTGTGTCATGGTCATTCTGTTAGGTAAAAGAAGGTATCACAAAAGAGTTTTGATTTGCATTTCCCTGATGGCTAAGGATGCTGAACATTTCTTTAAGTGTTTCTCAACCATTTGAGATTCCTCTGTTGATAATTCTTTTAATTGGATTATTTGGCTTGTTGATGTCTAGTTTTTTGACTTCTTTATGAATTTTTGGACATTAGCCCCTTTAATATGGAATTGGTGCAACTCTTTTCCCATTCTGTAGGCTTCTGTTTTGTCCTATTGACAATGTGCTTTACCTTACAAAAGCTTTTCAGTTTCATAATGTTCCATTTATGCTTGTTAATTCTTAGTTCCTCTGCTATTGTTATTCTGTTTGGGAAGTTGTCTCCTATGCAAATGCATTCAAATCTATTCTCCACTTTGTCTTCTATTAGATTCAGTGTATCTGGTTTTATGTTGAGGTCTTGGATCCACTTGGACTTGAATTTTGTTCATGGTGATAGATATTGATCTATTTGCATTTTTCTACATGCCACAATTCAGTTTGACAAGCACTATTTGTTGAAGATGCTTTTTTTTTTACACTGTATATTTTGGGCTTCTTTATTAAAAGTCAGGTATCCATAGGTATGTAAATTTACATCTGGGTCTTCAATTGAATTCCATTGATCATCTTGTCTGTTTTTATGCTACTACCATGTGGTTTTTATTACTATAGCTCTGTAACATAACTTGAAATTAAGAATGGTCATACCTCTAGAAATTCTTATATTATACAGGAATATTTTAGCTTTCTTGAGTTTTATTATTTTTGAAAAGTTGAGTATTGTCCTTTCATATTCTACAAAGAACTGTGTTAAAATTTTCATGGGATTACATTGAATTTGTAGATTACTTTTGGTAGGACAGCCATTTTTACTATGTTGACCCTACTATTCCATGACTGTGGGAGATCTTTCCATCTTCCGGTAGCTTCTTCAATTCCTTTTCTCAAAGACTTGAAGTTTTTAAGCATACAAATCTTTCAGTTGCTTAGTTAGATACACACTGAAGTATTTTATATTATTTGAGGTGACTGTGAAGGATGTTGTTTCCCTGATTTCTTTCTTAGTCTGTTAGCCATTTGTATATAGGATGGCTATTGAGGTGTTTTTTTTTTTTTTTGTTAACCTTGTATCCTGCCACTTTACTGAAGGTATGTATCAGCTATAGGAGTTCCCTGCTATATTTTTGTAGTCACTTATCTATATCATCATATCATCTGCAAATATTCATACTTTGACTTCTTCCTTAACAAACTGTATCCCCTCTTGATCTCCTATAGTTTTCTTAATACTCCCACTAGAACTTCAAGTACTATATTGAATAGATATGGAGACAATGGATATCTTGTCTTATTTTTGGTTTTAGTAGAATTGCATTGATTTTTCTCCCCATTTAATTTGATGTTGGATATAGACTTGCTGTATTGGCTTTATTCATAAAGGCTAGAAACTGGAAACATCCTACTTGTCCCAAAACCAAAAAATGGACAAAGAAAGGATGGTACATTTATACAGTGTATTATGCAGTTATTAAAAACAATGACATCATGAAATTTGCAGGAAAATGGATAGAACTAGAAAAAAATCCTGATTGCAGTAATCCAGATCTAGAAAGACAAACATGTTTTGTACTCACTTATATGTGGATATTATCTGTTAAGTAAAGGATAATCATGCTACAAACCACAGATCCAGAGAGGCTAAATAACAAGGAGGGCTTAAGTGGGGGAACATATGGATCTCCTTTGGAAGGGGAAATAGAATAGATTTTATGAGAGGATTGGAGGAAGGTTAGGATGGGAGCATGAGGCATTAGGTGGGGATGAGGGTGAGACAACTGGAATTGGGGAGCCATGGTGAACTATGTGGAAATATGGTATAGTAGAAATTCCCTGGAATCTTCAAGAAAGACCATAGCAAAGAATTCTAGCAATGGGGGATACAGAGTCTGAGTTGGCCATCTTCTATAACCTGGCAAGGATTCTAGCAGTGGAACTGCAATATCAACCCTGTCACAAAACTTTCAATCTATACTCTGTCCTGCCTCCATAATGTGCTGGTGTAATGGTGGTACAGAACTTCTGGGAGTGACCAACCAATTACTGGTCCAACTTGAGGTCCATGCCATGAGAGGGAGAACACACCTGACATTGATTGACTAGTTACCCAGGAAACAGAGACTGGACAGCCCAGAAACCCAAGATAGAATGAAACATAACTGGGAAAATTCATTGAAATGGTTACTAGTAATATTCTGTTATACTCATAGATCAGTGCCTAGCTCAGGTATCCTCAGAGATGCTTCATCCAACAACTTGTGGGAACAGATGCAGAGACCCACAGTCAAACACTGGGCAAAGGGAACCTGGCAGAAGAGGTATGGGAAGGACTGCAGGAGCCAAAGGGGTTGAAGACACCAGGAGAACAAGGCCTACAGAATCAACTAAGCAGGGCTCCTAGCAGATAGCAAAGACTGAAGCAAACAATCATGGACCCTGAATGGGTCAGCACTTTCAGCTTAGAATGACAGGCCACAGAAGTTTGCAGAATACATTACTGTTATTGGTATTTCCCCAGTATATAATCTTGTGATGGAAGTATGAACTATTTAGTCCAAATGGCAATGTACTTAACTAAGTACAAGCATGCAAATTCTGAGGAGAATGAAATTAGAATGCCTTTCTATTTGTGTATTAAAAGATTGATTTCATCAAATATAGTTTTGTCTTTGCTTTATTAAAAAGCCACCTTTGTTGAAGATGCTTTGAAGGTCAATAAATAGAAAATTATTTTTCGTAGGCAAGAAATACATGAATTACTGCATTTTATATGAAGGTATTAATATACAATCCTTTAATCATTAATGTTTCTAAATTAATATTTACCTCAAATACAAATTTATTTCCCCTATTTGTGATGCATTCTGACAGGTTATTAAAAATTATTTCTTTGTACTCCTATCACTTTGTATTATTGATATTATTTATTATCAAATTATTAAGCATAAGCTCTCAATTTTGTAGTTTCAGGAAGAAATAGGGATTTGCATCATTATCAGATTCATTAAATTCTTAGTAATGATCAACTGGTGGTTCTAATAGGCTTCTAATTTCATTTTTTTTAAATACCAAGAGATTTTTTTCTGTAATGTTCTATGTCAAAATTACTCATGTTAAAGGCAATGGTTTTGTGAAAAGAATTGGTCTAGATAATTATTTATAACTGAAAGAGTAAGATAAGACTGTCACCTTTACTAACCACATTTTTTTCTTTATTACTGAGTGTACATATCAACCAGGCCTGGTGGAATGTGATTGTAATCCCAGCATTTGAATAGTGGAGGCAGAAGGATGAGGAGTTCAAAGCCAGCCTCAGCTACTTTGTGAATTCAAGAAAAGCCTGTGTTCCATAAGACTATGTCTAAAAAATAAATAAAAATTCCTTATTATCACAAAATTTCCATGTAGAGATGATATTAAATATTAAGCTGCTGTGAATAGAGCATACAGAATTCTTGAAAACTAAAATTCTTTGATATAGGTCTTGTCAAATATATATTTAATATGATCTCTCCCCATGCAGCAACATCACCAAATAGACAAAAGAACAATTACATGATATTAAAAATGGATTGTGAAGGAATTAGAGGAGAGTTGTAGCTGGAGAGTTTTCTTTCTGGGTCCTGCCAAGCCCCAGCAATCCGACAGCCCACTCATAAAATAAACACACAGATGCTTATATTATTTAAACTGTTAGGCCTAATCGCTCTGGCTTCTAGTTATCTAGTTCTTACATCTTAAATTAATCCATTTCCATAAATCTATAACTTGTCACATGGCTCATGGCTTACCGGCATCTTCACATGCTGTTTGTCATGGTGGCGGCTGGCAGTGTCTCCCTCCACCTTCCTGTTCTCTCAATTCTCCTCTCTGTTAGTCCAGCCTATACTTCCTGCCTGGCTACTGGCCAATCAGTGTTTTATTTATTGACCAATCAGAGCAACACATTTGACATATAGACCATCCCACAGCAGATATATATAAATATTTAAGGGAATATTTATAAAATAATTTGAACAAATATGTTGCTTTCAAACTGTGCTAACTCCACTCCATCAAGACCATTCTAAATATAATGTGTTGCTCCTATTATGACTGAATATAAAATATATACAATCTTCCAGTCATCGTAAATAGATTTCTTCCCCCGAACAGAGAGGATTTAGAACAAGATAAACCTTTTATAACTATCTGATTTACAAAAAAATATACATCCTTAAGTTTTATATTCTTTTCTAATTGTATGGACAAACAGAGACTAATGGTATCTTAAAATTGATTTCATTTGGAAATACTCAAATGAGACAGAGAATCACAGTAAGAATTTCTGGTACTGTATATATTTTCCTTGCATGTTGTTTAACAATATGCAGTAAATATGATAAAATGTGATTTTGGTTTAAGTAGGTACTCACCTTTGCACCCAGTTCATTATAATGCAATTTCAAAGCTGTTACTCTTTCGTCAAGTTCCTTGGGGTTTTCTGTCTGCTTTTTCTGTACAATTTGACGTCCAGTTTTAATCACCATTTCCACTTCAGATTTCACTTCACTCAGGCTTTTATACAAATTCTATGTTAAAATAAAAACCAAACATAAATACTATACAAAGTATGGTGCATATTATTAACACAAATAAACAGACTATATTTCATTTTAATTGAAGTGCATTTTGTGGATGCTGTTATAGCATTTTGTATTTTCTGTTGAGTTAACTTAAATATTTGAGATTATATAAATATATGTGCATAATTTGCAGTTAGTCTTATAAATTAAATAGACCGTTTATATTTAGTTTTTCAATCAAAATTCATATATATTATTTCAAAATGTAGGATTTTTATTTTAACTGCCCCTTTTATCCAGTTCTAGCCATAAGTTTGTAAGAATGAATTTACTCACTTTTCTGGTATATTGAGTGCCTATAATCCACTAGAAAGTATTTGCATTTTTGTCATATCAATAATGGAAAAGTAAAAATTTACACTCTTGTTCTCATGGTGCTTACATTTAAGTAGGATAAAACATCTGAATATCTAGATCACTGTTTCCATGTATATAATTTCACATGGAAAGAAATGAATTAACCTTAAATATTTTAATTGAAAAATACAAATATATTACATGGGTACTGACAAGAATATAAAGCAATAGAAAAAAATTCTTCATGTGTCTCATAACTTCCAGCACATACATATTCCTTTACATGGGAGGCTTAGCATAACAATGCCTTATGAAGCAAGTATTACAATTCTCAAAGGCAGCTATAATTATCGATATACTGTCAATGCCACTTTGGTGTAATAATTTCGTTTACTTACTTTATGAGAAATATATGAATTTGTGTGAATATATGCATAAATATATAGGTACATATTTTCATGTGCATATATGTGTACACATATAATGACTAGTATATTTCTGCATTAACTTGTTCCATGTTTAATCCAAACAATAATTTTATTCTTACTTTGAACAATCTCACTAGTATGTGGGTTGCCCTTGGGATTAAAACAATTCTTTCTTCTTTTCTCTTTTTAGGTAAAAGTCAATGTGTAAAAACAAATATTAAAGGGTGAGCAATTTATCTGATTAATTATGGCCACATGCATAATCTGCTGTGATATTAATCCATCTTTCATGACTGATGTTGATATTTATTTATCAATAATTGTGAATTCATTTTGAAGCTTCTCAATTTTTTACTTAATTTTTATCTCGCAATGCATAGGAAAAAACCTACATTTCTATTCACATGGAAATCATTATTTTTATGCTAGGACATAGTTATAACAATTTGAAATTACTGATACTTCTAAATGATTCTCTGTCTGAACTTAAACAAACAACTTTTTGATTTATCATTGTTAAGAGATTTGACTTACAATGCATTTAATGATGAACTCACTCTTTTTAATTAGCACTAAAATATTTACAACCAAATAAGAAAAATGTTTCCTGTCTTTGTGTTTCATGTGAAGAATACATTTATTTTAGAAAAAAAAAAAGTCTTATCAAAGAGTGGAAGAGTGGTATGACATGCATTTAATTTCAACACCTGGGAAGTGGGGACAGGAGGATTTATGAGCTCAAGGCCCACTTGTCTGTATAGTGAGGCCTCATAAAATAACATCATCATCAACAACAACAAAATACATTCTTGATGACAAGGATATGGTTATAGTACATATCATCATGAAGGATATTAAAAAAAGAATATGTAAAATCTATGAAATAAAGATTTCTTCACAGAAAAAGTATTAACATTGCACCTAACATTTAAATCAGAGCAAGCTAATATGTGTGCTGTTTTCTTTCTACAGACACAGATGTGGTCATTTTGAGTTCATTAATTGGGAAATAAATCTTATGAGGCAAGATCCTGTTAGAAGAGAGGGAACATCTTTCTCATTGCAAATATAAGTAATGTGGACAGTATATTTGGGACATTTTAATTTTTATTAGTTTTTGAAAAATTTAAGATAGGACCCCATACATCTATTATCAGCAAATCAGTGCATAACATTATACCAAATACTATTTCGGATGGTGAAACTACTTAATAGAATTATTTCATTAAAATACACCCAAATGATTGATGATATTATTAAATAAAATAATTTCATTTTAATCACAAAGGCACACATTTATTTGATAATACTTGCAAAACAGGAAGACTTTTTATTACACATTTATACAGATACATCTGATGCATTTGTAAAGACACCATATTGTTATTCATAGTATCAAGTAGATACATTTTATGAAGATTTTATGTTATCAAAGGGGTTATCTGACTGACAGACTTTAAACACCGATGACATATGATAATATGAGATCTTACAAAGGATATGAATTTATGCTGTAGGTCAGTTGTATCTTTCCTTCTTTTTATTGTTTTGTGGTCTGGTGACATTTTAGTGCATATTCAGCACTAATATTTAATGAAATACATTAGGATTTGGAGTACCTAGAAGAAATCTGCTGTGCCCTTCACAGTTCTTTGTCTTTAATTTCTTTCAGGTAATCTGTAACCTTGAGAATAAAGATGACTAATGTACATAATTTAAACTTACTGAAAAGCATTATTTCTAGAGAGGTGGTAACTATTACAATTAGTGTTGCAGTTGTTGTTTCTAGGTAAATATATTTCCTTTCTTGATTTCTGTTTAATAATATGTCTGAAGAAAAATTATATAAATAAGACTCTTCTTTATTCTGTGCAGACATTAACAAAATTATTGACTGAAAAACACACTTCTAAAATGAGATGAAATGACTATTATTTCTATAAAACTTCCTATATCTTAATACATTGCCATTTTGAAATTTTAAAACTAGTTGCTAGAATTATTACACTTGTGATAAATACATTCTGTTATAAAAGATTTCAAGTTCAACTATATAGGCAAGTGAAAATGTGGCTAGATATTTGCCAGTAGGAATACATACCACACAGTGACTTAGTTGTGACTGGACTACTTCCTGTTCAACACTCTTTGTTTCCAGTGCAGGTAAATGCATCTTTACTTCATCTAAAATCATCTTACTTTCCTCTAGACGCTGGTCAAAATTGGCTGGTTTTTGGAATAATCGAAATTTCATGGAGACATCCTGTAATTTTTTCTGTAACAGCAATGTAAGTAAATACTAATTAATTAATCAACCAGTCATATTTTTGTTAATTTTCCTTTTTCTGAAGTTTTACCTGAATAGAAATTAAAAGTAAAAGTAAATAAGTGGAAATTTGCCATTTTTTTAAACACAAAGAATATGTACCTGGAGAATTTAGTATTCTTTATAAATTTGATAATAAATAGTGATATGTTAACTTATCTTTATACTCTATGTGTTATTTTTAAACATTATAGTCAGATATCATAGTATCATTTTCAAATTTCTGATAGCAAAGTTGTCTAAGATATAAGCCAAACTCCCTAGCTTATACAATAAAATATACCTGTGCAACATCAATTTGTGAAAGAACTCTTTGGGCAGCATCCTTCCCCTGGTTATGTTTCTTCATTTCCTCTAAACTGATTTCATGACTTGTCAAATCCGATTGTATTTTCTGTTGGAAAGACAACACTATTAACCAGCATACACTTCAAATTATTGCAAAACACAGCTCCCTTTCCATAAACATGTAGTTTAGAAATACTTGTGAACTATCAGCAGTAACACACTCCTCAAAATTAACAAGAATGTCTTTAAACTTCCCTAAATGACCAAAAAAGAAATTATTTTTGTCAAAATTGGGATTATTCTAAAAAATCCTTTAGATAAAATTTTCAATAGAGAATGTATGTTTATATGTCATATGTAGAGTTGATTATATCTTATTTTTGAAGGTATACTCTAATTTAAGCAAATATAAAAATGTCAAAACATATAAGTAATCTAGTTGTGAGGGAGGTGAGAAAAATACAATGAAATTCCTATACATTGTTTCTTGCTGATTATGTTTCTGTCTGTGTAGTGATATTTTATTTGTGCTCTAACAAATAAAGCTTGCCTGGGGATCAGAGGACAAAGCCAGCCATTATATTAAACATAGAGGGCAGGCAGTGGTTGCACATGCCTTTAATCTTAGCATTTGGGAGGCAGAGATTCATCAGATCTCTGTGAGTTCAAGGCCACACTGGGAACAGAAGCAGTAGTGTTGGCACATTGGCACATGCCTTTTTTTTTTTTTTTTTTTTTTTTTTTTTTTTTTTTTTTTTGTTTCGAGACAGGGTTTCTCTGTAGTTTCGGTGCCTGTCTTGGATCTTGCTCTGTAGACCAGGGTGGCCTTGAACTGACAGAGATCTGCCTGGCTCTGCCTCCTGAGTGCTAGGATTAGAGGTCTGGAGGTTTGGACAGACAGACAGGAAGTGATATAGCTGGACAGAGAGAGGAATTAAGAGGGCTGGGACAGAAAGGCATATCGGTGTGAGTATACAGGAAGTAGCCTTTTTTTGTCTGAGGATTCCTAGCAGTAAGAACATGGCTGGCTTCTTTCTGTTTCCCTGATCTCTCAGTTTTTACCTCAATATCTGGTTCTGGGTTTTTTATTAATAAGACTGTTTAGCAATTCATTACTTACATTACTCATTCTTTGGAAAATTTCAGTTAAATTTCATGAAAATTGATCTAAATGAAGCATACAGTGAGTGTTAGTTTTTTCATTGGTATAACTAATGTCTAGTAGAAACAATGTGAGGCAGTGGTGCCTTATTTTGTCTCATAGGTTTAGAAAAAAGTCCATTACTGTGGCGAATTCAAGGCAGCTAAGATAACTTCATTGACAACATGAAAGTTTGGGGTAGCATTTGCTTGATCACATAGTACAGACCCAGGGATTTTAGAGATTTTAGACTCACACAAAGGACTTCCAAACCTCCAGAGGGTTATACTTAGTGTCCTATTTGTGCCAGCCAGGTAACAAATGGTGCCACAACCTTCCACCAGGTATAAACAAAAGAATTCAAACACAGGAACATGTGGAAGATGTTTCAGAAACAAACACTTTTTGTTTGAAATAATCAGTTCCTACAGCTATTGATTTTTGAACTTTAAATAAGCACGCAATATTTTCAACAATTTCCGACAAGTTTTTGGGCTTCTTTCTTTCTTTCTTTCTTTCTTTCTTTCTTTCTTTCTTTCTTTCTTTCTTTCTTTCTTTCTTTCTTTCTTTCTTTCTTTCTTTCTTTCT